TACAACAGACGTCGACGCATCTACAACTGCCACATCTACAACAGAAACATCTACAACTGCCGCATCTACAACTGCCGCATCTACAACAGACGCCCTGTCGACCACAGCGGCTAGTACAACTGCCACATCTACAACAGACGCATCTACAACAGACGCATTTACAACACACGCATCTACAACAGACGCCCTGTCAACCATAGTGGCTAGTACAACTGCCGCATCTACAACTGACGCCATGTCGACCACATCAGCTAGCACAACTGCCGCATCTACAACAGACGCATCTACAACATACGCCCTGTCAACCACAGTGGCTAGTACAACTGACGCATCTACAACTGAAGCCATCTCGACCACAGCGGTTAGCACAACTGCCGCATCTACAACTGCCGCATCTACAACAGACGCATCTACAACTACCGCATCTACAACAGACGCCTTGTCGACCACAGCGGATAGTACAACTGCCGCATCTACAACAGACGCGTCTACAACTGCCGCATCTACAACGAACGCGCTGTCGACGACAGCTAGCTAGTACAACACACGCATCTACAACTGCCGCAATCTACAACAGAACGCGTCTACAACTGCCACATCTACAACAGATGCATCTACAACAGACGCCCTGTCAAACATAGTGGCTAGTACAACTGCCGCATCTACAACTGACGCCTTGTCGACAACATCAGCTAGCACAACTGCCGCATCTACAACAGACGCATCTACATCTGCCGCATCTACAACTACCGCATCTACAACAGACGCTCTGTCAACCACAGTGGCTAGTACAACTGCCGCATCTACAACTGACGCCCTGTTGACCACAGCAGCTAGCACAACTGCCGCATCTACAACAGACGCATCTACAACTGACGCATCTACAACTGACGCATCTACAACAGACGCCCTGTCAACCACAGTGGCTAGTACAACTGCCGCATCTACAACAGACGCATCTACAACAGACGCATCTACAACTGCCACATCTACAACAGACGCATCTACAACCGACGCCCTGTCTACCACAGTGGTTAGTACAACTGTCGCATCTACAACAGACGCATTTACAACAGACGCATCTACAACAGACGCATCTACAACATACGCCCTGTCGACCACAGCGGTTAGCACAACTGCCGCATCTACAACTGCCGCATCTACAACAGACGCATCTACAACTGCCACATCTACAACAGACGCATCTACAACCGACGCCCTGTCTACCACAGTGGTTAGTACAACTGTCGCATCTACAACTGCCGCATCTACAACAGACGCATCTACAACAGACGCATCTACAACATACGCCCTGTCGACCACAGCAGCTAGCACAACTGCCGCATCTACAACTGACGCCCTGTCGACCACAGCGGTTAGCACAACTGCCGCATTTACAACAGACGCCCTGTCGACTACAGCAGCTAGCACAACTGTTGCATCTACAACTGCCGCATCTACAACTGACACCATGTCGACCACATCAGCTAGCACAACTGCCGCATCTACAACAGACGCCCTGTCAACCACAGTGGCTAGTACAACTGTTGCATCTACAACTGCTGCATCTACAACTGACGCCCTGTCAACCACAGCAGCTAGCACAACTGCCGCATCTACAACAGACGCATCTATAACTGCCGCATCTACAACAGACGCATCTGCAACAGACGCCCTGTCGACCACAGTGGATAGTACAACTGCCGCATCTACAACAGACGCCCTTTCAACCACAGTGGTTAGTACAACTGCCGCATCTACAACAGACGCCCTCTCAACCACAGTAGTTGGTACAACTGCCGCATCTACAACAGACGCATCTACAACTGACGCCATGTCGACCACAGTGTCTAGTACAACTGCCGCATCTACAACAGACGTATCTACAACAGACGCCCTCTCAACCACAATAGTTAGTACAACCACAGACATGAACACATCAAGTGAGTTAACGACTGAAGAGAGCACAACTGTAACCGCCACAGACATGACCACATCAAGTGAGTTAACAACTGAAGAGAGCACAACTGATGCCACCACCACAAACATGACCACTGCAAGTGAGTTAACGACTGAAGAGAGCACAACTGTAACCACCACAGACATGACCACATCAAGTGAGTTAACAACTGAAGAGAGCACAACTGATGCCACCACCACAAACATGACCACTGCAAGTGAGTTAACGACTGAAGAGAGCACAACTGATGCCACCACCACAAACATGACCACTGCAAGTGAGTTAACGACTGAAGAGAGCACAACTGATGCCACCACAGACACTGATGAAATCACATCTACTACAACTAAGCTTTCTACCACAGAGATAAGCACAGCTGAACCTTTTGTTTCAAACCCTTCAGGTACAGCATTTATTTGTTATCGACCAACTTAAATTGATTTGCTAAAAATACAAGATATAATAATTTGAAAGTATTTGGTAAAACTTTTTATTTTGTTGATTTAGAATGTTATTTTATGAATAATTTTGCTCTACATATATCTATTTCTGTTTACAGTTATTATCACTGTTCCTGAAATAGTGCCCGCCAACGATCTTATCGGTAACTATAAACGTTTATGTGATGGTTATATTTTAACCGCATTTGTATTCTAAAGCTGATCAGGTAAAGCGAATGGTTTTACACTAGTTGTAAAAGACAAAAACACCATACGTTATTAAACTGAATTAAATGAGTTACCTTAATGAGTAGACTCGTAGACTACTGCATTTTACGAGAAAAATGGATGTACTTTGTAACCTTGTTTTTATGTGCGTTGACAGATATAACAGCGGTCATTGCCATCATCAATGTGGTGATCGTTCCAGTTCAGTGTTCCATGGAGTTTCCTGGGGCTATCACCTCGATTGATTTTTATGTTACTTTTCTCGAAAAGGTAAGGCCATATGTTCATATAGAAGATAAGAACTGAGGTTATGTAGGACAATAGATTTCTTATTTCCATACAAGGCAACAACTTATCGTGTGGTTAGAAGATTGATACACTGACTGTGTCTCGTACATTTTTCTGCAGGTCACGCCATACTACAGTAACACGGAAGGGTACCAGGGCATAAAGATAACTGGTATCAGGTAAGATGATGTGTATAGCTAGCTATATGTTACAACTGAAAATTCAGTTGGTATATGGGTCAGCATTGTGGAGTTCTAGGCCTGACTCACACTATTATAATAGTTGTAAGTCTATGTTAAGTATTCGTTCTCAAACTGCCCACTGTCCCTTGATTATCGAATGTATATGGGATAATCAACAGTTCATTTTTTTCGTATGTACAATTATATAGTTTGTGAGGAAACAAAACCTTCATAAATCTATTGAGATAACTGTTATCTATTTATCCCCCATCATAGACCAGTAAAGAGAAGGCGGCGGAACACCCCAGGCACGAAAGTATACTACGAAGTCGAGTATAACTACAAGGAGCTAAGCGAAACCGGCGGTGTGAAGAACGTTTCCAGCCGTCTTGAAAATGACGTGAAGGCAGGAAATTTCGCCGTCGAAGGCATCACAGCCAAACAGGAATCGCTGAGTTACCCAAGTGAATCAGGTAGGTAATATCTGACGGAGGTCTGCATAAGATCTTAGCATTGTGCTGGTTTTGTAAAATTTGACTCAATCCTTGACAAAATTACCATCGTGTTTACTTCCACCTTCTGTGTTGTTTACTGACGTTTGACATTCTTGCTTCAACAGAAATTAGAGCAGCTGCCATCGAAGCAGTAATCGAACAGGTTGCTGTAGATCCAGGTCTGATTGAAGGCGGGCTGTGTGCCTTCACCAATTGCTCGAGTGGATACGAATGTCAACAAGACGAAACTAGTGGTAACGTTATCTGTGCAGAACAGTGTACAAACGGTTATTGTTACAACGAGGGTACCTGTATTCATTTGGAGAAAAGAGATATTTACTGCAGGTTGGTATCTATCTATCTATCTATCTATCTATCTATGTATCTGTCTATGTATCTATCTATCTATGTATCTATCTATCTATCTATGTATGTATCTATCTATGTATCTATCTATCTATGTATCTATCTATGTATCTATCTACCTACAGTATGTGTGTATGTATGTATCTGTCTATCTATGTATCTATCTATCTAGCTAGCTGGCTAGCTAGCTATTCATCCGTCCATCCATCCATCCATCCATCCATCCATCCATCCATCCATCCACCCATCCAACCATCCATCCATCCAACCATGTAATATGTTTCTGTGTATGTATTCAAAATGGTATTTAATCTAATATGAGTAATATATACACTTGTCATAATTTAGATTTATCTATCAGTTTCATTCTTAACAAATTTCTAGCTTGCAGATAAAAACAAGGCAAGGAAAACCCCAATCATGAGTATTAATCTATTATCTGGATTCACATCGCCTATGATACTTCTGTTGATATTTCTGCGCTATAATGCAAATCAAAAACATTTTTTGTGTGTTTTCTTTACATTGAAACTTTTTCTTTGCTTTGAATGTGAAGCTGTGACAA